AAAAAAAAAAAAGAAAAGAAAGAAAGAAATAGTATCCTTCATTAAAAATTAAAGTTCTGATAAAATTAGCCAAACTGGGCCAGGCGTGGTGGCTCACGCCTGTAATCCCTGCACTTTGGGAGACCAAGGCAGGTGGATCACTTGAGGTCAGGAGTTTGAAACCAGCCTGGCCAACATGGTGAAACCCCGTCTCTACTAAAATACAAAAATTAGCCGGGCATATGGTGGCGGGCACCTGTAATCCCAGCTACTTGGGAGGCTAAGGCAGGAGAATTGCTTGAACCCAGAAGGTGGAGGTTGCAGTGAGCCAAGATCACGCCATCGCACTCCAGCCTGGGCAAAAAGAACCAAACTCCATCTCAAAAAAAAAAAAAAAAAAGAATTCTTTAACTATCAAACATTTAAGAAAAGTTTCGTGGAAGCTGGAACTAGAAGGGACGGTGGAACTCAGAGAATCCAGGACCGTGGAGGGGCAGGCTCACCGTCACAGAGAGCACTCTAAAGCCCAGCAAGACAGAACGAGGAACAAATGAAATGCGCCTGGCAGATTTTTCTAACGATTGTGAACCTTTTTAAATGACTAACAAAAATACATACTCTGGGGGTCTATGTTACTTGTAAGAAATGACATATCTATTTCTGAAGAAATGACGTCAAAGTGTAACATTAAATACCTCTATTGGTGATGAATTTGTCTAGGTCAGTTGCTTCCTCATAGATTACTTTTGGTGTAACTGTGCCTAAAGAGAGAACATAAAATAACTTCCACAGGCGTACACATGGCCTATCATGATCACACTAAGTCAAAGTATAGTTGATCAAGCAAATATGGTGACCACAACTGCCCAGAGTGGTGACTACAAAACTCTCCCCACTCCCCAAAAACCATCAGATAGGAGTCCCCGTCCTCTTAATGTCTAATTATAACTGAGGAGGAAAATCCACAACAAACAAACAAACAAACAAAAACCAGGGTCACTGACATAAAAACGAATATGCAGTTCACTGCTGGTGGCAATACAAAATGGTACAGACACTGTAGAAAACAATTGGCCGGGTACGGTGGCTCACGCCTGTAATCCCAGCACTTTGGGAGGCTGAGGCGGGTAGATTGCCTGAGGTCAGGAGTTCGAGACCAGTCTGGCCAACATGGTGAAACCTCATCACTATTAAAAACACAAAAAAATTAGCCAGGTGTGGTGGCACACACCTGTAATCTCAGCTACTTGGGAGGCTAAGGCAGGGGAATCGCTTGAACCAGGGAGGTAGAGGTTGCAGTGAGCCGAGATCATGCCACTGCACTCCAGCCTGGGTGACAAAGCGAGACACTGTCTCAAAAAACAAAAATAAAAACAAAAAACACAATTTGGTGGATCTTCAAGAAGTCATACTAGCATGACCTGTCAGTTCCACTCCTAGGTGTCTACCCAAAAGAAATAAAAAGATACATCTACGCAAAAACTTGGCCACGAGTGTTCATGGCAGCGCTATTCACAACAGTCAAGAGATGAAAACAACCCATATGTCCATCAGCTGATGAATGGACAATGGACAAATACAATGTGCTCTGTCCATGCGACAGACTACGATTCAGCCATAAAGAGGAATGAAGCGCTGCCATGCGCTACAACACAGATGGACCATGGAACACCATGCTAAGTGAAAGAAGCCGGACACAAAAGGCCATACAGTGTATGCTTCTGTTTCTGGGGAACACCCAGAATAAGCAATCCATGGAGACAGGAAGCAGACTGGTGGCTGCCAGGGGCTGAGGGACGAGGGGTAGGGAGTG